GGGGAAAAAATCGGAGTTACGGTCGGAAAACAGCAAAAAAAAAGGGATAAAATGGGATAAAAAATGGGATTTAGGAAGGAAAAATTGCAAAAAAAAAGAGGCATTTGGGGGAAAAAATGGGAAAAATGGGATTTGGGGAAAAGAATGGGATTTGGGGAAAAAAAAAGGGATTTGGGGGAAAAAAAACGGGAAAAAATGGGATTTGGGGGTGAAAAATGGGATTGGGGAGGTTTGGGATCCGGGAACGGCTCGGGGGACTCCTGGATGAGCTCGTGGTGCCCCCAGACATGATCAGGTGGGGAAAAATTCCAGGATTTTGGGTAAAAATGGGAAAAAATGGGATTTGGGGAAAAAAACGGGGAAAAAATCGGAGTTACGGTCGAAAAACGGCAAAAAAAAATGGGGAAAATGGCAAAAAAACGGGAAAAATGGGATAAAAAATGGGATTTGGGAATCCAAAATGGGATTTGGGGAGAAAAAATGGGAATTGGGGAAAAAAAAGGGGGAAAAAATCGGAGTTTGGGGTGAAAAACGGCAAAAAAAATGGGATAAAATGGGATAAAAAATGGGATTTGGGGAGAAAATGTTGCGAAAAAAATGGGGTAAGATTTCAGTGGGGGATCCCATAAAAAATGGGATTTGAGGAAAAAAGTGGGAAATTGGGGAGAAAAAATGGGAAAACGTTTTTCCTCATTTTCCAATGGATTTCCCCCATTTTTTGCTCCATTTCCCCCATTTTTTGCTCTATTTTCCCCATTTTTTCACCGATTTTCCCCATTTTTTCATCATTTTTCCCCATTTTTTCACCATTTTTTTCCCCATTTTTCCCCATTTTTTAATGGATTTTTCCTTTAATGGATTTTCCCTATTTTTAAATGGATTTCCCCCATTTTTTCCCATATTTGCCCCATTTTTTGCTCTATTTTCCCCATTCTTTCACCGATTTTCCCCATTTTTTCACCGTTTTCCCCCATTTTTCCCATTTTCCAGTGTGATCGTGGAGTCCCCGGTGACGTCCCCGGAGTTCCTGGAGCAGCTGCAGGAGCTGCACGGGAAGATCGAGGCGGTGAAGGAAGAGGCTTTCAGGGACACTTTGGCCTGTGCTGATGTCCAGCACGTGCTCGACAGGCTCAGGATCAAGGTAAAAATATAAAATTCCTGCCCAAAAATGCACCAAAATCCCCGGAATTATCCCCAAAAAATTCCGGGAGAAATCGCAAAAATTCTGGGAAAAATCGTAAAAAATTCCGGGAAAAATCGCAAAAAATTCTGAGAAAAATTAAAAAAAAATCTGGGCATTATTCCCAAAAAATCCTCAAAATTCCCAAAAGAAATCCTAAAAAATCCCAGGAATTATCTCCAAAAAATCCCAGGAAAAATCCCAAAAATTCTTGGGAAAAATCCTAAAAAAATTCCCAAAAGAAATCCCAAAAATCCCAATGGAACTGGGATGGACTGGGATGTCCAGCATGTCCTCGACAGGCTCAGGATCAAGGTAAAAAAACACCAAAATCCCCGGAATTCACCCCAAAAAATTCCAGGAATTTTCTTTAAAAATACCAGGAGAAATCGCAAAAAGATCCAGGAATGATCCCCAAAAAATCGCAGGAGAAATCCCAAAAATTCCCCAAAATTCCCAAAACAAATCCTGAAAAATCCTGGGAATTATCCCCAAAAAAATCGCAGGAGAAATCCCAAAAACTCCCCAAAATTCCCAAAACAAATCCTGAAAAATCCTGGGAATTATCCCCAAAAAAAATCCCAGGAGAAATCCCAAAAAAATCCTGGGAAAAATTCTTTCTAAAGTACAAGACAATGCGTCATCACAGAGGTGTGACCAACCCGTGCGATTGGCCCAGCAGCCTGTCAATCAACCTCAGAGCCACAACGGATTGGCTCTGAAACACAGGGGGCGGGGCTCCCTTTGCTGGAGGAGAAGGAGGAAGCTTCTAGAACTTTCCACAGCAGCCATCTTTGTGGTTTCTTCCTCCATATTGGAGAACCACAGCCAGGGCTCCTCCATGTTCCAGAACCACAGCCAGGGCTCCTCCATGTTCAGGAACCACAGCCAG